TTTATTTATTTATTTTTAAAACGCTGTTTCTTTCCAACTGTTTTTTGTATTGACACAAGTCCAAAAAAACTATTCAGGCTATCGCTCTCGTCCTCTACAGCTTTATATTAGCACTATTCTTTAAGCTAAGCTACTACAGAGTGACTGTGCCAGCCCTTAGGCTCATGATGTCCTGGACACTGTCTGTTCTTTTAAAAATATTGACTGTCTTTACAGCTCAGATTTTGGCATGAAGATCAATCTCGGGATCATGACTTTTTGGTGGTAAAATAATTCAAACCAAAAAGAGTTATATTAATAAATAAACACTTTTAGGATGGTGTCATTTGATGCACTCTCTTGGCTGAAGTTTTGTCTGTTTTCAGTGTCTTCTTCATATATATGATGGCACTTGTAACTTTAGGTGTTGTGTTTTACTGACCGACTTTCAATGTATTTTTTTTTATCACGAGAATTCTTATCATCTGCCCTTAATCCTTTAAAAGAGATAGACTGGGATGATTTATTTCTATTAGCATACATATTGATATACTATATTTTTCGGACCATAAGGAGCACCGGATTATAAAACGCACTGTCGATGAATGGGTCTGTTTTTATACATAAAGCCACCGGATTATAAGGCGCATTAAGTGAAACAAAACAGTCAGATAAGTCAAACTTTACTCAACTCATTCTTCTTGCTTCCTCCACTTCCGTACCATTGATTCATTAATGTTGAATCCTCTCGCAGCTGCTCTATTCCCATGTTGTTGCAGTATATTAATGACTAACCTCATCTTGTGGTTGGATTATCTCCGTTGTTCTCCTGACTGAAGTTTGGTCTGTTTACAGCATCCTGCCATGCAATTGCATTTGTCAAAAACCATCGGGAACCCTCACGTTTAATTAGTTAGTGGTTCATCCTCCAGCTTCACTGTGTTATGCTTTGTGTTATGCTAACATAGCTGTGCCGCTAGCGATCACATAGCACAGCATTATATACCAGGTAGCCTAACTTCAGTAACCCTATAAACGTCACTACTGTTTAATTTTCTGTCTTCATTTATGTTGGAAGTGGTAGCAGAGCTGTACGTTTAAATTTTTTCAGAAATCTCTCAATAAGAACATGGTATATCATGTTTAGGTAACTAGTGAAACTAGCGAGCTAACTTCCTGCTAACTTCTAACTCCGTTAAATTTAATAAATTCTGTTTTCATGGATACCTAGATGTTAAACGTAATTGTTAAACCTGGTGAAGCAGCAACGCTGATCATTTTATTAAAGTTAAAAGAATATAGACAGTTTTTAACTCTCAGTGTGCTGGACTGCTCGTTTGACTTTGGGACCTGAAGGGACGGAGTTTTGGACCCAGATTACTCTGAGTTTGCAAGGCTCCTGACTACAGTAGCCGTAATGCTCCGACAATCCATCAAGTGGTGCGGCTTCGTAGCTTACCAAAGTCGTACTACATTTTTTGACAGATGTTTGAGCGCCGTGTACCACATAAAATCGGTTCGAGGTCAGTAAGCACAACCAGAATTCAAACATAAGGCACACCGGATTGTAAGGCGAACTGACAATTTTTGAGAAAATTTAAGGATTTTAAGTGCGCCTTATAGTGTGGAAAGTACGGTAACACTGGGGTCTTAAACTCGCAACCCAGGGGCCACTTGCAGCCCACATCACCCCTACGTGTATGTTGACATGCAGAAATATAAAGCAATCTGGCGCCTGAAGTTACTTTTTTTGCTAGGGAGGATTTGTTTGTTGTTGAGTTCAATGTTAAAATAAGTTCTTTATGAAGCAAAAAATTATTTAATATGAAGGCAACATGAGCAGAGAGTACAAACATGCTGAGGGATTAGCTCTGTTAGTTCAGCGATTCATGTGTAAAGAAAACAATTTTCACTAGCAGTCAAAAACTAATGTGTA